CAGCGTCCCCACCCCAGCCCCCCAAGTGCCCAAACCCTGGATATTAAAGGTTAAGGCGCGTCTGGTTAACAGCAAAGGAAAATGACCAGCCCTACCAGCTTTCTCTGCTGATGTGACAGATGCTGTAGCATTTCTCTGGGGATGTTTTACATGCCCACACAGGACTAAGATAGCCTAGAAAGGGTGAATTAAATGAGAACACCTTTTCAACAAATGAAAAGGTATTGCAAATAGATTGTAGTTGAACAAAAAAGTAGGATTCTTATGTAAGTCTTCAGTGTTTCTTGGAGGTAAGTGGCAATGCAACTAAGTTGGCTTCCGTTTTTCCCAGTGTTAGTTCTACAGAGCAAGCCTCTGCAGTTCCAGATTTTGTGTCACTGTTTGGCTACTAAACTCTTCATCTCAGTTCTTGTTAAACCTTACTCTGAATTTGTTGTTAGGGAGAAAGATTTTCAATGTTGGTTATGTTAACATGAAGATCACTGTTAAACTTACCAAGAGACTGAAAATATTTTCAGTAATTATTTTTTTCTGAATTCAGTTCTTCCATCCAAGCCCTGCCGTTCTACCACCTCTTTTAGTCGTATGACCCACTGTATAATCACTTTGTAATTTAATATTGTCTGTATGCAGAGAGTCATTTGGCGTGCTTTTGCAGAATCTTTTTGTTTTGTAGTTCCAAGACTGCATGAAATTCTTGTCTTGCCTACACAGGAAATCAAAAACTAAATGTTAAACACAAAAATGGTAGCATATAATGAGGTACAAAACATTGTCCCCATATTCGGCAAGTTTTGTGTATGAGCGATATATTCTGCAATGTCATGCTAGAGCTACCTGGGTATAGATTGTGTGAAAGTGAAACACTATCACAGTATGTATCAGTATGGAAGTATTGCTCTAAAACTTAAGGAAGAAGTCTAAAACAGTATCGGTTGCACTGTTTTGATTTTTTAATTCTTTGTGCAGTTCTGTATCTTATCTGGGCATACGTTCCTGAGACTTGGCTATTCTCTTTGGGACTAACATACTGGCCTCAAAAGTAAGTTCAAACAATTAAACTCTTAAGCCTGAATAGACGTACATTTATAACACCCTGAATTAATTTCAAATAGCAAATAGCGAAACTATACATGTATCTTTTAAATGGTGGCCTTGCATTTGATACATTTTTCCTGATGATAAAGGGCTATCGTTTTTGTGAAGCATTACTTTATACCGATAAGTAATTACGATAAAAAATATTTTGTTGTGTAATGAAAGAAGTAGTATTTATTTCAGTGTTTTGTGATAAGTTAGGAATTCTGTCTTAACCAAGTTTGCCGATGGAAATACAATAAATTTTAAATTGTATATAAAAAACAAAAGCCATCTATAAGGAGTTTGTGTGACTGTTTATAACAGGCTGGCTACAGTGACTCCATAGTTAGTAGTCTTCCTGGGAGGAACCAGGGTCCATATTTAGTGGTGGTGTTTCTTTTCGTCCCAGCTAAGTTTGTGCTGTATACAATAACAGCCAGTACATTAAAAATGTTATGTCACCAGACATTTTGTTATTATGATAAGTAAATTTTAAAATCTTATTTCTCAGGTACTGGGCAGTTGCATTGCCTGCGTATCTACTAGTTACTCTAGCAATCGGCTATATCTTGCTTTTTGGTATTAATATGATGAGTACAGCTCCACTCAACTCTACACATACTATTACAGGTAATTTTATTGTTATTTTTGGAGGGTTTTGACACTTAACAGACAATTTATGTACACATATATATATATGTAAATGTAAGTTTAAATAATATGACTCAAAGTTTAAGCCCCTAGTTTTTCAGGTGAGTTAAACAGGAGAGGAGTTCCTGGAAATACTTATGTACTGAGGTGAAAAGATAGCCATGAGCTTGATTCTTTCATCTTTACTATCTTAACGGCAGTAGTTTCCAACTAGGAAAGTGTAGTTTGTTAATAAAAGGGGCATCATGAGAGGAAAGGAACATAGGCACACAAAGGTCTCTTCGGCTTGTACCGTGCATTACAAACGAGTGAGGAGTGGAATAGGAAGAAAGGCATGAGTACAAGGCAATGGCAGAGGAAATAAGGTTCTGTAGCCGTCAGATTTGTGTGCTGAGGATGCTGCAGTACTGAGGCCTCATTAGGTATAGGTAAGAAATGCACTATTTCAAAGTTACTTTTCAGTTTTTCATTTGACTTTCTCATAGTCTTTCCTTCTCCCAAGCAGCCCAGTTCTGGGCATTCACGCTATTCTCCAGACAGCTGCATCTTTTTCCACATGGTGTTCTATTTGCAGACAGCCATTTTTGTTTAAAAAACAAAACCAGAAAAACCCCCAAAACCCAGCAAAGCTCGCCGGGGAAGTTAACTGTTACTAAAGAGGTAGACTACTGAAACTGCATCATTTTAACAAACTACGAGTATATAGTATTAGATTATAGTGAACTACAAAGGAAAAAAATCAGTTGAGGCTGTAGTTCAAATGCTTTACTCCAATGCTTCTGCCAAAAGCTGTAGTTTAGTCCTCCATGTGCTCTTAGCCGCTCACTCACACTCTCATGTCATCTCACACGGTGCAAGGGTAAGAGTTTGTGTGTCGGTATGGCAGATGGGATGGGGGAACTGCTCTGGTTGAAAAACAACTCTTTTTGTCAGTTGCTTTTCTTCCAGAGAGATCAAGTTCCCTAATTGTGTTCAACATGCAATTGGAAAAACGTTAGGGAAGGGTGCTGTGTGGTGATGGCAACAAGCAGCCAACATAAAGGGAGGATAGACTACCTCTCGCAGTGGAAATCCTAGTATAAATTGTTCAGCCTCAGCCATTGAGAGGGATGTTGGCTGTTTGGTTGGTTTTTCCTGTGTGTAGTTATTGTCATACAGAATCTCAAACCAAGTGAACTACCAGATAGAGAATTCGAGAAGGAGGGCAGGGCTGATTTGTTCAGTGACTCCGCTAATATATGGTTTTGTAAAGTGTTTCTGAACTACCATCTAAAACTTCAGCAAGGTGGAGCTTTTAGCAACACTTACAATACCAACATGTATAGAATGTTGCATTATGTAGCATTTCGTTAAAGAAAAAAGTATCTTTAATTTGCGGAACATACTTATTGTGTTTCCTATAGATAACTATGCAAAAAAGCAACAACAGAAGAAATTTCAAGAAGAAGCAATTCCTGCACTGAGGGATGTTTCCATCAGTGAAGTAAACAGAATGTTTTTCCTTCCTGAAAAAGGCATCTGCAATAGCAGTTAATTGTAATTAAGATCTATTTGAATAAAGTATTAGTAGCAACAGTACGGAAATCAAATGGAAACTCAAAACCCATCCATGTCAAGACAAGAAATTTTCTGCTAGTATAACAAAACTTTTTTTCTGAATTTTCTGAATTCATGTAAAAATATTTGATTGTTGAGATGCCTTAGTTTTGTCATTATACATGGGCCATGATAATCTGCTTTCTTCTGAGAATTATGCTACATTAATTTATTTAACCATTCTTGTAATTTAAAAGAAATGATCTATTACTTACAGGTTACTACTGTATTTTCCCTCTCGGTGTAAAAGAAAAAGCACTTGGGCCTAATGCAATTCTGTTTTTCACTGAATTCAGGGAGAGCAAATGTGCTCTGTTAAACTAATGCTTGAGGCTCTTGAAATCTCTCCCCTGTTCTTTTTGGTTTGCTTTGGTTTACAAGTCACATTAAACCAAAGTATTTCCATTGTAAATACACAGTTTGCATTTGTAAATATTAATAAAATACAGTTACTTTTACTTGTTTAAAGTTAGCAATTTTTCTGTAATTCTGTAATATTTGTCTTCAGTCAAGGTATATAGAAGTAGATTTTCCTTATGCTCAGCAATCTATGTTGATTTTCTGCAAATTGGTTAGACTTATTAAAATATCAAGATTACTGGAAACAAGGAATATGAATTGTGAAGATTTTCTGCAACAAGTCCTAAAATGACTTTTTTTTTTTTTTAACTTTCATCCTTAAAAATACAGAAAACTATTGCTAGATTCAAAGAAATGTCTGTAAGTATAGGAATCTATAGGCCCATTTTATAGTCTAGATTGTAGCATGAAGCATGTGCTTTTTTCAGCAGTGGTTCAGATATTTCTTAAAGAGGGAGTTTTGCTTTTGTGTATGCATTAGTGAGGAGACAGACGATACATATTTACTTTCTTCTGAGAGTCAGAAATCTAATTCTTAAGGTTTTTAATGTATTTATTTTCAGTAGTCAAGATTATTCATTTTGGTTGGAAAGACCAATAAATAAAGCCTTATTGTTTGTTAGGTCTACAGGCCGACTTCTGACCAGTAGAGAATTTAATTATAGAAAAATAGAGTTTTCTGAGAATTTATGTATGAAGGCTCTTATGCTAGTTCTTCAGAAATCAGTCACAACAGCCATCAGTTTTTGTGAGAAATTTTATGACGTGGCTACAATCGATCAGTCTGGTACAATTGTGAAAGTAAGTTGCTGCTTCTTGATCCTGTAATCTTTAGTAGTTTGCTACTTTTCCCACCTTTATCTGAAGGAGGAAAAGAAATGCTAGGTCTTATGGGTATGAAGAGAAAAATGCTGTCTTAATTAAGCAAAAAAAGCTGTTTGGTATGTCACTCTGAAATAGTAGATTTCAGGTATGTAGTTGTTCGGGGGCATTTCCTGAGAACTGGTATGTCAGCCTAATGATTGTAAATTAGTACCGTGCTTATTTGCTTGATAGTTTTCACCTGGTTTTTTGTTTTGGGGTTTTTTTTTGCATTTTGTTTTTCCGTTTGCTCCCAGTTGCTGTCATTGTCCCCCTCCTCCTGTTTTTGCCGTTCTATTTATTTCAGCTTGCACACTTGCACACCCATATATAGGGTCAATTCAAGATTTTATGATCAACAGACATGAAGATGTATTTACTCTTTTGTCAGTTGTCTAATCACTCTGTAAACACTGAAGTGTTGGCTGCAGAGTCACCTTTTCTTGTATAATTTCTGGCTGTGTTCTATGTTCCTTTTACTTTCTGAGAAAGCAATTTCTTTTTTAATTCTAAATTGACAACTAGTGAAGGCTACGCTTCTGGTATCATTTAATGCAAGGATTAATTTAGTCCCCAGTTAAGGGTCCTGAAAGCACACAAATTAAAGGACTGTAAACCTTGGACAAAGATTCTATCAGTGATGAATCTGCTATTTCATTTGACTGCTGACTACACAATTATGGGAAAACTAACAGAGACACCTCTGTGAATAGACAAGCTGGGGCCATTTGTTTAAGTAAAACTTGCAGGCATGAAACTCAATCTTTGCTTTTGTATCACTGCCATGTGACAGTGCTTCAAAGACACTGTAGTGACCTTTTCCTCTACTTAAAGAGTAACGTTTGACACTTCAGAAGTGGCCTCTGTCGTCAAAACAAAACTAGGTAACATTTACAGTGCATGTCCTTTAATAAATATGTTTTTCTAGGAGATTGCAGGTGTTTGGGCTCCATCATTTCAGTCCTGCATATAGCTGTGATTAACCAAAAGATACACAACTCTGCCAGTACAGCGAAGAGAAAAGGAGAGATTTTCCCATTTGTAGAGCTGTAGCATCCTTTTAGCTATAGATACTTTGTTAGAAAAGGGAGCTAGCTAATTTAGCTCTAGCCCAGCTTAGCCCTAGTGCCTAAAGTAGATGAAGCCTGCAGGCCACAGGACTGAATTGTAGATGAGCTCGAAAGACATTGCTGAGGATGTGACTGCAAAACCAGCTAGAACCAGCCCTCAGAGATACAGAATGCGATGCACAGAGGTAACAGTTAACCTTCGGGCTAAGATAGGCACTATGAAGCAGGAACATAGCAACCATCCCCGGAGGTTGACGTGAACCAATGAAAAGGAAAGAGACCACCGACTCAGTGAAGAAGATTGGAAGAGACTGTCACTGGCAGGTGGGGAAATAAGACTGTAAGGAGTATAATTACCCCACAGTTTCTTTGTTCGGGGTCCTTCCCGGGAGGCACACCTTGAGCTGTTACTTTGCTGTACCGATATTTAAATAAATAATTTCGCTGCTAGATGTACGTGAGACTCTGCTCCTCGGAAACCTGGGGTCGAACTGTTTCCATAACATACTTAATGGGTTTTTAATAGATTTTTGCCTTAGAGGTTATTCCAAAACAATCTGAAATGATTGCGATGTGTTGCTAGTACCGCCTTTCTTTACAAAACATACCCGTTTAATGACTTGAGGTATCAGATATCCATGCTTCTCAGAGTTTGACCTGAATAAAACTAAATTTGTCCCTGTTTTCATCCTTTGGACTTATTGATGGCATATTACTATAGTGCAACCAGTAGTAATCACTAGAGTTAGACCAATTGCTTTACTCCTGTTGAAGTAAACTAAATGATTAAAAGTCAGGCATGCTTTTTTTTTAATGCAGCTTCTGGGGGTTTTTATGCGGTTTTTATTGTAGTGGACATTAATGGTGCTTCGCACATCTTGGCATAAAGAAACTTCATTTTGTAAGATAAATTCCCCAAAAAGGAATGAATGCATCAGCATGTCATAAAAATATTAAAGGTGCTGATTCAAATGAAAAGGTTGTATGCCAATGAAAGTAATAGGGCAGCAGTTATCAAATTTGTCTATGTAGTGATGATAGAGATCAAGTCTCTCTCTGTCTTAGCTGTAAAGAGAGGGGTAGCAGTGATGCAGATAATGTGTTTAGGATGTTGAAGTTCAGGTGATGTATGGAGTTGAATTGAGAGAAAGAAACTTTGGGAGTAGAGAGTCATGCAAATAAATAAAAATGGAAGCTTTTTTGGTTTTCGGTCTTTTATCATATTGCACTGTACTGAATGCCATGAGTTTGGAGGCTTCCGGGCAAATGCATAGTGTATGCATATGAAGTAGCAGAAGAGCAAAATTCCCTGTGTATGTAGATAATTTCATTTTTATTATATATTAATATGAGTATTTGGCCAATTTCATCGAGATAACAGGAACCTATAGCAGAAGAGGAAAACAATGTGAAGTTCAAAGGCATAAACCATATGGACTAAAATATGCAAGCAAGTATTACAAAAAGCTAGCAAAATGTTGTATTTGTTTGTGTATACTGTTCCTACAGATAGGACGACTGGCACAGGAAAAGGAAAGAAAAAGAAACATGGAATCTCAAATTTTATTTCAGTGAACGACCACAAAAGTGATGTCCTTGCAGAAAACAGCACCGAGTGAAGAAACCTGTGCTGACAGTAGTACAATAGAGTAGTCTTCCTCCTTGTAGGTAAACTTCTGAAGTTGCAAGCAGGCCACACCTTAACTGCACCACACCTAAAGCATTCTGACAGGTATAGACCATCTTAAAACTATTTTGAGTGTAGCAGGGAGTTCTCTCAATTTGATGGTCTTTAAAATAACTGTTATTTGTGATGTGGGAGGGGGAGAATTGGCTAAAAAGTGAATAACAACAAATTATATTACTCTAGATTTTGGCAAAGGTTCAGATAGCAATAGCTGCTATCAAAGATGCTGTCGTATAGATCAGAAAGCTCTAACGTTATTTGCTTATCCTGTTCCTGCAGGCAACGTTTCTGTAAGGTTAGAAATTTGCCTGAATCAAGAAGGCGCACACTGCTCACAATGTGTGTGCCTGAAACTTTTCTGAGAATAGGAGAAGGAAGGAAAATAAATGTATTCATCCCATAACGTAGATCTCTTTCTGGTACTGTAGCTGTTGATTGGGACTCCCTTTATGCTTGTTGGTCAACAAACAGTAAAAATGCTGTTCTGCCCCAAAGGGCAAATAGAGAGTATACAGGGAAAGAGAGAGATGATAAAGTAATACTAATAGGTTTTGTAGTTCTTGTGAGTGGGCCTTACGATGCCCTGAGTTAAATTAGACAAAGTTAGTACTGAAAGATATCTTAAGGAGAAAAGAATGGAGAGAAGTGATCACAGCTGTAGAAACAGTGAGCTTTCCATCTCTGACAAAATTTCACTATGAGGTCAGAGATCACTGTAGGGTAATCTAAATAGTGTTTGAGTCTTCTTCCCCTTTCCCCTGTTCCTCCTACCTGGCCCAAGAGAGGATAGCAAATCAACTTGTCTTGGATATATTCATTTGCTGTATCTGTAGCAATTCAGTATTGCAAGTGTGATTAGAAACTATGAGAAGATCTCTGGCCTGATACAGTGTTTCTCTAATAATTCACGTTCATGTGGGAGCTCTCACCTACAGGTACAGTAACATACTCAATATCAAAGTTAATTTAAGAAAGACTTTTTGAATACTTGGTTTCTTTACAAGGCAGTTCTTATGGACCTCCATTTCATTTGTGGGTAGAAATGATAAAGTATTTCTGGCTTGCAATCAGAACAGTTAATACATGATTTCTGTGTGAATATATTTGGTTGCATAATGTACCTTTTCCAATGGCACTTTGAGCGCCTAAAATGCGAAGCCCTGCTTGCTGGTATACTGTTATGTTTTTTGGTCAGCTTTATAACAACTGAGTTTTTTTTTTTTTTTTAACATCTCTCCCTTTGTTCATGAATTGAGCATTATGAGGAGGAGGTTTTGGAAACATTTAGTCTTGTTCTGCCAGTGTCCTTAAATAAAGATTACCAAAGTAAATTTGGTTGGTATGCTGAGCAATATATATGATCAACTTCAATCTCAGCCTGTTGCTAAAAGGAGCTGATAGATTAATCCAATTTGGAAATCATGGTCACATGGAGTGTAATTTCTCTCTTAAATGTTTCAGTGAATATGATGGATTTTGTCTCTAGAGCTCATAAGACTGCCGTTGTGAAGACTGCCTTTGTTTAGATGTGGCAGTTTAATTCTTTCTTCCCTGCAACTGTTGTTATTCTCTCATTATAAATGTAGATTTGAAAAAAAAAAAAAAGTATGTTAATTATTTTTCATTTAATCCAACCTAATTAGTGAATAATGTATAGAAAGGACACTTAAAATCATGCAATAGGTGTGCTTCTATTGGTTGTATTTATCCTTTAAGAGCTTGTCCTTGCAACTGAGTTTGGAAGTAGAATTCAGTACCATTTTATGAACACATTTTGACTTTTAACGGGAAAAAATACAGTAGAAGCATAAACACTGTTGACATTGTGTAGTTACCTCTCCAGCATTCTGCCAGTACCGGTGGAACATTAACTTGTCTTTCAGTGTCATAATTTTAGACAAAATGAAATAGAAATAGAAATGCTAAAGTAGCATTTGCTGGAAACATTACATTGTTGAACAATAACGGAAGTTCTGTGGAACTATCTTCACTTCCTGAACTAACAATTAATTTAATCTGGTCTTGTCTTTGAAGTAGTAAGCTCATGACTAACTCATTAATTGAGGATGCTTTGTTGTCTTTTTCCTGCAAATGATGGCTGATTCTAAGATTACTCAAGACTTCTCAAGGTCAAACCACAGATAAAGTAACAAACCAGAACTGAAAACTGAAAGTTAACTGACAGTTAAATAACAGCTATGCTATAATTACTTCACTTGTAGCCTTTTTTTTTAATTATTAGTGATCTGGTCACAATGCATGTTTTATTTTAAGTGTGCTTATTTGCACATGGTAACTTCTGGTCATCCAAGGTGCTTAGAATGACATAGTCCCATCTGTTGATACTAATCCCTCCAGCTCAAAACAGCTTCTTAATACGGGAGGATCAGTCTGGACTGCAACTGAGGCTGGCCTCCATTTATTTCTTGTGGACCTACGGAGACCTATTCCTCATTGCTATCCTGCAACAACAGTAGCATCAGTTCTTGCTGGACATATGTGTCCACAAGCATCCACTTGGTCTCATCTGATATTTTTCTAAAGGATAAACATAACATACTGCTGGGCTTCTGCAGAGCAGGCAAAGAAGCTATAAAGGAGGAAGTAACAGATCACAGAGTCTTGACAGAAAGGTAAGGATCAGCAAGGAGGAACCTGCAGAGTTTCTGTTACTTAATGATTCTTTACATGGTGACATCATCTGTGTGAAACAAATGGCTCAAGTGTGGCGAGTTTGCTGGGGAGCGCTGTGCTGTGTGGAGATTGTCAGATAACTACCAAGTTCTAGAGCCGTTTTCACAGAGGAGGCAGCTGGTTCCCTCCAGACTTCCCTCCAGGTTCCAGGGAGCCTCAGCGGAGACCTGAGCAATTCAGCAATAACCAGATTGACCTAGTGGTTTCTGTCACATCACAGGGGAAAATTACAGCACAGGTACACAAAGAGATATCTTAAAAGATGAGAAGAAGCCCTGCTGGGGCCTGGAAGGTGGGGGCAAAACACTAAATATTGGCAGTGAACTCAACTGTGCATTTAGGGAGACTAGAGCTTCTTACAAGGAAGAAGCTGAGGCTTAATGTACAATAATTTGACCAGCGTATGAAATATGTCATTATCACTGACTTGTTAAGTGATCTTGGATGCTCTTCTATTTAAATGTGCTACAGATGGAGTATTATGAAGCTAGGGTATACATATTTTTTTAAGACATCAGGTGAGAGAAGTGAGAGACCTGTTACACGTCTGCGTGTTAGTTCCCTATATTGGGAACGGAAGAGGAGGAGATGATGAGTGAGTGAAATGCTGAATTGTGATGTGTCACGCCAGGGCTTACAGATTCAACTATTTCTTTTAATTCTATATGTTATAGGATGTTGTCTCATTGTGTAAATTTAATTATTAGATCCATTTCTGAGTTTGTAAATGGAGTTTCAAAAAAATCCTCCATTCTAATATGTTGGTTCATTTGAAATCCTAATTTGCCAGATTTACAATTTATAACACTATTACTTTGTCTAGCTGCATTGTACTAAGAGGAAGATCTGACACACATGTTAAGTGGCTCTTCAAACCGCCTCACCTTATCTGTACTACCAAAAGTTGCGTAGATAAGGTCAAGAATCTTGGATTCTGACTTTGCCTTGTCTCCAGAGAAAGAATGTCAGTTTTGGTTAGAAATAAGATAATTGAAGCATAATAATTCTGAAACATAGTGTGGCCAAAACAAAAAGCTAATCCTTGAGCTAATTAAAAAATGCTGCCATAGCAACATAAATCCTGTCAAACTTTCTGAGCAAATTGTATAATTTATGCAAACAGAAGTCTACTTTAAGCAGAACAGATTTTACCAATGCTCTGAATGAAATAAATTACATTGGAAAAAAGCAGGTTTGGGCTAGCGGACCAACTATGTTGGAATAAGTGTGTCTAAAGTGTACGTAACAGTAAAGTTGCTTATGATAATTAGTAACTTAAGTCACCCTGAACATCAATTTAAAAGGAATTTCAAGGTAATAAGATACACATCCACACAACACCAGCTAGGAATCAACGGTACATCAGTTATACTAAAATCATAGATTCAAGCACACGAAACTGTAGAAATAAGATTTGAATATTGTGGTTAGGACAAAAACAAAGGTAGAATTCAGTGCTTGTTTTAATGTGTCATTAAATTGTAGCTTTTAATCAAGATTTACATTTTTTTCTGATTGACAAAAAGGCACTTTTCTGATTAGAGGAGGAAAATCTGGTAGTAAGGGAATGACAGGACCCCAGATAACATCACAGGACTATCATTTCGAACTTGTGTTGACAGGAGGTTATACTGGAATCTCTGCTGAAATGGATCTGGTTAATCTGGCATATAGCATTCATATCAGAATAAGTGTGCTTCATAGAGCTAATAAGCAATAGTCTTTGCATTTTAAATAATTCCTTAATTTTTAAAAAATTTGTGTTTCAAAACCTTCAGGTTATTTTTGTGGTTGTACATTATAGCATGTACATGTGCATAATCAATCATAATCAATCATTTTCATTTGAACAGGACTGCAATGTAAAAGAGTGCTCTTAATGTTCTTAATCCAAGCGTTACTTAAACCAACTCAATTTAAAATACTGTAATCGTTTGTTAAGCTTCGGGGTTTAAAAGGTTCTCCAAAAGGCAAAAGGATTTCCTCTTTGTTTCCAGTCGCACTGACTCATTCTTCTTGGCAAGACGGATATAAACAGTTTTCATACACACTTTGATGTGTTTCTTCATGCAGTTAGATGTTTGTCCATACATATGTTACAGTTCTTTTTTTGTCTCTTGCTTTTTTTATGATGTGTTTGTCCAAGGCTGACTGCTGTTTGTTATCAGGCTGAACTGATCTCTTCTTCTTCCTCCTCAGAGTCGATGTCATCGTTGTAGAAGTGAATTGTAGCTTGCACTGGAAAACTAGCCAGAACCTTCTCTCCCATGTTACTAAGAAACTTTTGGGATTTGGACTTGGGCAAATAAAGTCTGATAAGAAAACATGTTTTAAAAGAAAAAGTAAAACTAGGTGAATCTTTCCCAACCAACCTAGCTCGAATATTACAATCTGTTTTCTCCTTCTTTGTAGAGAGAAAAATCCTGGAGTTCCTTGATGTCTCTTACAATAAAATTTGCTAGCTAAAAGGTACTGTTGATTTTCAGTTACCTCAGTTGCTTGGGGCATATCACGTTGGATTTATCTAAGGTTTCTCCCTGATAATGTGTTGCCAGGGCAATGACGTGGTTGAATGTTTTTTAGCACTGTGCAGAATGCATGTGGCCGTTCCAATTGTGGGAAGCTTGAGGAACGTCCTGGAATTCTGGAATCCCTCCTGACACCGAACTGAGACTGTGGCGGGTTGCCTGTTGCATGGAGGTTGGCATTAGTGATTTTTGCGTCTCCAGGTAGAGGAGGAGGTGTAGGCTGAGAGCGGCTTATTTCAAAATTTGTATTGTTTTGCCCTGAAATTTTAAACCAGCTGTCTCAGTTTACATTTCAGGTTTTCACCTGCTTTCCCACAAAAGCAAAACTTACGAGGTCATGCTATCTGTATACATACTTATGTGTTTTTGTGTGCATATGTCTTCCTCTTGTTTCCACTGTGGCCAGTCTTCAGTTAAATTTGACAGAGGGACAAAGGTCACACAAAGTTTAAGCTTCCACAACTTACGTAAAAGCAGGTGCTTGTAAAGAGGAGGGATATTCCATTAGATTTCTTCCTTTAACAGAAAGTCTGCATCAGGAGTTCATACATCGTTAAGCCCTAAAGAATCCAACGGGGGGGTGAAAATCCTTATAAATCCCCCAACCATAGGAAAAGTTTAACTACAGTTCAGTCTTTATTCAAGGGCAAATTTAAGCAACCTCAAGGCACAGATCTGTAGCAAGTCATATTCCATTAGCAGCTACTCATATTCATTATTTGGGTATTGTAGGCTTGGCATCACATTAATAAATGTAAGTATAAATTAGATAAGGCAAGATAACACCGAGTTTCTTTTAAGATGACTTTTTGCACATTTTCAGTATTAGCAAATTGCTTCAGCTTCTGTTTAGCGTGGGCATCTTTCTTTCTGGAAGGATAAAAATCTATGGAGTTTGGTGAGCATTTAAACGGCATCACTGAAAAGATATACTCCAGAGACAAATTTACACTTTTCCATAGAAGGAATATGACTTTGGGGGGAAACTTTCACTTTTCCTGTATCAAATGATAAGATTTATCTCACCTCACTGGATGTTGAAAGCCCAGGGCTCCTTTTGATTTAAAATTTCTTAGTTGACCATCCTGTTCTGACCGCAGAGAGACATATTTATTATTTAAAATATAATGTAAATGAAGATTTCACTATTTTCTTGTACAGATAACACTAAAATTCTATAGTAGTATTACTTTGTTTGGTGTGCTGCACACAAAATCAAGAGACAGCTGTCATCATGTATCTCTATGCAATAGCTCAGAACAACAAGGTTTCTTTTTCCCTATTATTATAAACTTGACTTTACATAAAATAAGGAGATTTAATTTTGCTGTACTAAAATTTTTGTTGAATCTGGAAACTATCCACTCTCCTACAAACAGACGAAGATGACTGTTGCCACTGTCAGAACAGTTTGTCTAGGCTGAAGGTTGTTTACAGTGTTTTTTTCTGAGGAAGTAGGCTTCAGCATGGATGTTCTGGTGGGCAACAAAAAGCCCTTGGGCTACAGACTGAGCAAGAGGTCTTAAAGAATTGTCTCTCTATTTTTAATGTTGTTGCTTTTCTCCCATACCTAGCAAGATGGACTCCTCATCTTGCACACTGTAGATGTGATTATAACGTGTATGTTAAATAATAAACACTATATGTTATTTTCCTCCATTCACATTTGTAATAAAATTGAAACAGTCTTCTTTATGTTCTTGATCTGTATTTTATAGGATCTTCCCTTTGGAATACGTATTATTTTTTTAAAACGATAATATGAATCAATTAAATACATATTATTCATATATGCCATACAGCATATATTTTTCTTTTCAGACTATAATACAGCATTTCTGAAGAAATTCTGATAGAGCCACCTAATTGCAAATCTGATGAAGTTGTTTCTGTGTGACAGAAAATGTTCAGAGTTAATCTGAGTTATACCGTAGCTGTGGTAATAACAACTTCAATATAAATTATTTTTCATGGCCTTTTCCTTCTCGTATAAATAATGGCACGTTTGCGAGTAGGAAAAACATTCCTTTTTTATAAGGAAAAATATGTCATTAGGTAAATATAGACTATATTAGAACACACATTCTTGAGAATATAGGTACAATTGTTTGTTTAAATTTGTTACCGCTGCTTTTACTGTTAGTGCTTTTTTCCTGCATCTTTCACTCTCTCATGGTAGATTTTTATATGCAGATTACTAAACCTTATTTTAATTACACAGATAGAGAATATTGTTTTTTTGTTTGTCTCCCTTTTCAGTGCTTAGAATGTCTACTGATCTGCAAAGCACTGGCATTTGCACACATATCTTGCCAAAAATAAAAGTATTTGACGTGCAACTAGCAAAAACATTGCGCCCACCCCATCTTTGAAGCCTCTCTCCTGGAAACTTTGGTAGCTCTGCTGAAGAAGACGCATCCTGCCTTCTGCAGCTGTGGAATGTTGCTACATACTAGTAAGTTTATGCACCACACAAAGTATCCAAGCATCTTTCCTCAAATATTATGCCCCTATTAAAAAGGACAAGAAGAGGGTTCCCCTCCTTTAACCCTCGTTAGGTCCCAAGCTACAGAGGTATGTAGGAGGCTGGATGGGTGTGGATGGGCCGTAAAGCATGCATGAGAAGGGTCTGGGAAGCTTCTGGCAGGAAGGAAAAATGTTAAAATTGAAATTAGCTTTTTCAGTTATCCTTAGTTTGAAACAATACCAGGCTCTTAGCAGGAAAGTGTAAAACTTCATACATGGTTTGTTTTTCCCACGCAAATGGGCAGAAGCCCGAGAGGGCATTAGAACTTTTGAGCTGGTTAAATAAAGTTTTCTACAAAAATGCAATTTCAGTATAAAATCACAACTTCCTGATATCAGAAACCTTATTTCATTGAAATTGTTTCTGTAAGCATAAAATTCTTCCCATGAGACTGAGATTTTAGCAAGTCTACAGGTGTCTCTGGCAAAACTTTCAGACACTACCAGGAAGGAAGGTCTTCTTCCACAAGCTTTCCCCAGGTTGCCTGCCTGTAGTGCAGCACTCCCACTGATCTGTACAGCTACAACCTCCTTTTTCAGGAGGCTAAAAGTACAAGGTAAGTGGTGTTTCCCATGTTAGAACATAGTAGAAATTTGAGTCTTTACAGACTTGTACTAAGTAGAGCTGTCTTAGCCTGCTGAGCCTTTGGTTAAAAAACTGAAGACATAGCTATATGGATCTGAGGCTGCAAAAACTTTTGCAGGTGCTTAAAATTGAGCATGTGAATAGTACCATTTAAATATATTTGTTAAAGTTTAAAAGGTTGCGACCTACACTGACTGTGCTTAAATCTCTTTAATTGTTTCCTTTGAGCCTCACAAGCCTTCCTACATGAGTAAGTAAAACCTCCTGACTACTCATACACCTCGTGTATGTACTCTTGAGTAAGTACATGAGTAAGTGAGAAAAAGTAATCATCACTGGGCCTTTCAAAAGCACTATGAAGTAATATCCATTTTTATATTGAATTTTCTGTTGATTTCATGGCTGTTGTAGCTATAGCAATATCCCTTCCAAAATCAATCAATACAATTGTAATAAAAAAGTATGTTTTTAAAAATTCCATCTTAAAGTCATTTTCATGCAAAATCCCCTCCCACAATACATAATATCACAGATGGACCAGGCCTGAAAATTTCAAACTGTGGATATTCTTACTATTTTTGTAATTACGCAAATAAAAACTGATGTTAAAATGAGGGTATACTGCAGAGTTGTCTTAGTCAGCAGTGCTTTCTGCAGCTCTTTAACAACTGATAATAATGCTATATCTGGTAAAAAAAAAAAAATTAGAGGTACTCTTTTAAACATTATCATATATAGAACAAAATGTAATTTGAAACATTTTTTAACACAGGTTTTGTGTGAAACAAACAGAAAAGAAAACCAATCCTCACTTCTGTGTTCAAATAGTTAGAATTTCTGCACCTGTTTTCTATTAGGATTATTTTATCCAGAATTTATTCTCACCGTTCTCTGATTCTCTGTCATTTCATCAGCTCTTGCTGTGAGAATCCAGGGCCTCCATAAAGCAGAGCTGCTGAAAGATTGAGATAGAACAACACTCCCATAGTTAATTCTCTGCAGTAATTTCCATACAGTGTACTTCCTTTTTTAGATTCTTTTGGCATTTCTTGAACTAACAGGATTGTTTTCTTTTCAACACATTTTGATTTGGTAAATCTGATTTCTATGGCAAAATTAGTCTATCCTCTGTTTAGACAAAGTAGACAATCCCTTGCACGTTTTTCACTATGGTAATATTTCCCTTTCGGATTTCACAATTCAAGCGACTGCAACTGCAAATAATTAATATTGAAATCTTTTTTGCTTATGCAGCACTTCTAAAAATAAAAAGTAATCCTCCCTGTCTGACAGTATTTTTAACTGAAGAAGATTACATATGGTCATTGCGTGACTGATTATTTATTGATTAAGCAACTCTAGTGTTAAATTAACATGGGTAATCCGACCTAATCAGTTTAAGAGAGCATATATAGTGGTGGATGCTTCATCTGCCTTTTGTTAAGGCAATTTTGCAGGGGGGGGTTACAATTGTACTTGCCATTTTTAATAGTAGTTTTCTTCTCTGCTGCTGGGTAGAAGATCCACACAGTAGGGGAAACAAAATAATGCTTTCAGATGGACAAGGTAAAGGAATTAAAAAAGACAGTTATTGCAATCTTACTTGTAACTGCAGCTGAGCACAAATTAAGTTCTGAAATATTTGACTGAAAAGGATAAAATATTGCCAAAACAAAATATCAGTTCAAAGTGAAATGTTTTCAGAAATTATTTTGCCTTTATTTTCTGAAGTAGAAATTTTTTAGTGTCCATTCAATGTCATAATCATTACATTCAAAATGTACTTACAGTCTGAGCTTCTTAGTAGTCTTTCAAGGGACTATATACTTACTGCACAAATTGATTTATTGCTCAGGTCATGATTCATCAGGCAATATTATTATTTTAAAAGGGATATTCACTGATGTCTATAGAGAGATACATTCCCTCTCCTGGGACTGCATCCCTCTTTTTAAGGGAGTCCTATTGTTTCCAGGTCATAGTATTTCTGCTGGAGTTTTGAAAGGATGGCCAGTGAAAAAAGTTCTCTCCCTGTAATCTGCCTTACCTCTGTAGCTGCTCTCTTGGATGGAGCGAATGCAGCTGTGTGTCTCTGGAGCAGTGACAGATGTTGTCCACTGTAGCCTGGAGCAAGGGTGTAGCTGCAGCTGCACCCTCCATAGTATTTGATGGTCTAAAGTCTACTGTTCCTGTGGCAGGCTGGGTGTTTGCCCTGGCCTTTCAGCTCCTCCTTTATCTCGACTCCCAAAGAATACTTACCTAAAACAAACAAGGCCTCAGGTAAAAGGAGAGAAATGTCCTCAGTGAGTTTTCTTTTGACTCCTCCAAGTATTTCAAAGATTCAAAAGTTCTCACGTGGTCAGGCTGTCCTGGGGAGAGTAATTCTAGAGAAACAGGCTTTTTTGTTAAGTGTCATTAGCAAATCACATTGAAAACAATCCATGTCTTTTATCTTTCTGTTGCTGTTTTACAAAATCTGCCTTTGTTCTATATGAAATATATGATGCAAATACTCTCTTTGTGTGTCTTGGGAAAACCCTCAACCTCCTATCTGATCACTGAAAAGGAAAGTATATGATTCTGAACAGCTATCTTAAAAAAGCATCATGCAGACTCGCTGAGAACATTTAAAATGTAGACTAAAATGTTAAAATTACAAGAGAGTCTTCCATTTTCTAACTTTTAAAGAGAAAAAGATACCAAAATTCAATGAACATAAGCCGATTTAAAGACAGACCCAGGGACTTCCTCAAGGCTATAGGGTTGTTCCTTTAATTTGATTCCTAGTTGATGGATGGGGAACAAAACTCATGCCAAGGAAGATTACTTTGTGTAGCAAAGCGTGGTGGTTATGAATGCCACTGCTTTGAGGAGTCTTTTGTTTCACAATAGGCAACACATGCTTTAAGCCTACGAAGACTAAGTAGAAACGGACTTCTTCCAGGCTTTCTTCCTACTTCTTCCATTTGTACCATGCATTACTCGTAACCTATTACATTGTACAAGAGCAATTTATTATCTAGCTGGTGACATTATCTGATTTTCATTGTTGTGGTTCACTGCTAGAGTTCACTTATTTCCCTTATTCCTTGATCACTACAGAGATGTGATAGGTTTGTAAGAACTTAATGTTGAATTCTTTTCCCACTGATGTTGTTTACTCATTGACATCCAAGGGAACAGATTGAGCTCCCAAATATAATTGGTGTCTCCTGGGAACTTTCTTCCCAGAGAAAGCAAAATAATTCTATTTAGTGAACCAGGAATGGCCATTGATTATTTGGTGTGAATTGGGTCCTTTCTAGCTGACTGAGCTGAAGAAACCATCAAAACAGGCAGTTTGAGAGGATATTAAGATACTGAAAACTCTCTGTGAGCCATGTTCCTCCTCTGCAAGCTTTTGTGGCACTTTTTAAAGTTATGATACAGCTGGAGGTAGCACATATCCAGTTAACCAGAAGGGGCAGGACTCGCAGACAAAGACTACTGGATATATTCTTCTGAGAGAAAACATTTTCCCTTAAAGTACATCTTTGAGAAGTGAAGTTACTAAAACTAGGAAAGGAAAAGATCTTCTATATTAGAAGACATTGAATAGCTTTTCACAGGTGTGATTTTTTGTGCCTTCTACTGAATTTGCTTAAAATTAAATGTTTTTCTTCCAACTGCTGAGTGGGAGTTTAGCTCAGATTTGAAAGTAAAACTGGTTTTCTTACATTAATGCAAGTTGTACAGTTGTGTTAGCTACCTAGCACTTTTAAGACTGCTAAAAATTACAGCATTACAGAAGTTCTCCTGTATTTGAAGTAACCTTCAGTCAAATACTCTGGAATTAGATTTGTTGAGGTCCAATTTTTACATTATTTTTTCCTGTTCCTTAAAACATCTATTCTTGCTTTGACAAATAGCCATGGTTTAAATTTAAAGACCAAAGCCACTAAGTGCTGTTCTGGGAAGGGCTGAGAATATAGAATAGAGGACTCGCAGTCTAAATCTGCTCCCTCTCCCCTCCCTCCCCTATTCAAATACTGTGTAATATTTTTAAGTACATAAATACTGTATCTCAGAGGAGGCAATATGTGCATACTCTCTATAAATTACAATGAAGAAGAAAGAATTAGAATTATTGGAATAAAGAAGAAGGTGAATAATGTTCAAACAAGCTATGTATTAAATAGGCAGCATGAATCCTAAGAAAAAATGGCTAACTTCTGAAGTAACCTAAACTGTAATTAAATATCTCGCTGAATTATGGCATGAAATACACATAAATACATTAGCTGAGTTTCATTTAGGTCTAATTTAACTTAATAGTTGAAAGGGAAGTGTAACACAACTGATGTCTATGGTCCTGATCTTGCAATCAGATCCATATGTGAGGATAACTGATTTACAACCCTAGATAGAATCTGCTAACATGGATATTAGTGGAGGAATGGAGGCCTAAACTACTAGCACATGGCTGTCAGGAAGATGAGAGCTATCTCATCTTTATCTTTCAATAAAGCCCTGCAGAACCATATTTATTAAAAATTATTGGAAATATACATTTCTTAATAAAGCTAGAATATAATTGAATGCAGCTGCACATAACATTGTAGAAAAAAACGTAGTTAATATAATATTGTACTGAATAAGTGAAGCACACATCTTTAACTGGTGTTTTTGTGGAAACTTCTCAGAATCTGATTGTGTTACAAATGCTTGTCTATTTTCTCCAGAAGCAGGGAGTATTTCTCATACTTGACACACTTTCTCATACTACCTGAGAATAACTTTGACAGCAAGACTTGATTCTGACTTTACAGAAATTAAGGACTGTGTATTGAGAGAGAGAGAGAGAGAGAGAGAGAAATGGGCCAGAAGATAATTATTTTGTGTTATTTGGTTTTATATCTTTGTGAGAAACCTGTTTTTACTCAGCTTTCCCATGAAAGAGCACTTGTGAATTTGCAAGAATAGAGGAGAATGTGGTATGTAAACTGGTGCAATGAAGGAGACAAGATAGATCTGAAGGGTTTATAGTTTTAAATATCTCGTATTGAACAACATGACATAGGCATTAATGGCATGCAAAGTCCCTCAAAGAGAAATTGTTGGATAAGCTTTTAGGGGATAGAGAGAGGGAGGAAGAGGAAAAAAAGTCACTCACAAAGCTCAGCAAAGCCAGTTTCATACTATTCCTTCAAAGCCAGAAAGAGAGACTCCTCTACACTGAGGTCACCCAGTGGAGTTGGCTCCCTGTTGCAAGCTGCCTCCTTCAGGAGCCTTCCTATATTGACTCTTTAAAGAGCCTGGGCAGATTTAACCTGTCTACACTGAAGCTGGCCTTTTAAAAAAAAAAAAAAAAAAAGCGAGTGTCTCTGTTTTGGGGAGGCAGGTTCAGCCAGCTTGCAGGCAGAAATTCAAAAGCCCTATTCATTTTCTTCAGGGTTTACCATATTCTCCTTAAACAAACTCATGCCTGGGTTCTTCACCTTGCAGCATGTTTCTGTAATCTTTTCTCTGTGATAAAAAGCCCAGTATTCTGGGAAGTCTGAGAGCTAGGATTACTCGCTGTCTCTTTCCAAGGCTTCCTCCCACCCTTTTTTGAGGAAAAATTGTTTGACATAGTTATTTTAGAATATCTGTTTTAGGAATTTTCCAAGTGCAGACAAGGCCTTGACTTCACAGTAATAAAAAATAACGTTTTTCAATATAAAACAATTAACTTTTTAATCAGAGCTTGTCATGATTGAGGCTAAGGTATATTCTGACAGAAACTAGGATCTCTGCAGCAACTTTGTTGACTTCCAGTTGTTCTAATGGAGAATGTGCCAACATTTTACTCTTTGTAGAGACTCTCCTTAAAAATGGTGACTGTTTTTGCCTGTAGATTGTCCTGCTTAGATTCTCTTGTATGTATGACAAAGTTTTGATTCAATTTTCTCACCTATTCATAAACTTTTCCAGGATAAGGAAACCTTAAAAAATAAGCATGAAAATATAGTTGACTGCATTCAGTGTCACCGCAGGATTAAACAAAGTATGTTCCTCATTGTCCAAAAGTTATATAAACAGCAGCGTTCTGAAAGGTCATCAATGCATGGACTGTTGAACTGTTACAGAGAAAGTGAATTCCAAAGCTCAGAGCTTTCTTTGGAGATGTTTTACTTCGTTTGTTTTTTGTTCTTTTGATGTGCCTGTGCAAGTATTTGACTTCCTGTATAAGATAAAGTCACACAAAGAAGCAGTTAGGACCAGAAGAGACATTTTTCCTCTGCATAGAATATGTACAGGATATAGTAGCAGCACAAGACTGAGTATTTCTTAAGCTTCAGATGCAGGGAGATAATGGTTTAAGCACTTTGCCCTTCCTACTACAACGGTCAACTGTTTCAGCCATGTGTTGTGCAAATCAAATTTATGTCAGAGATTGCTATCATTTTGGATAGGCTTCTACTGTGGGCGCACATTTAAAGAAATAACAACAGGTGTCTGTCATAGCAGTGGTCTTTTGGTTTTTTTTTCATATTTATGCCCGTTCCAAAATGTGCAGGAGCAATTGGTTTCGAGCTTACCTGCAATGCCTAGTGTGTTGTTGCTGGAGATCCATTTAGGAAGTTGACGTAGTTATTTTAGAATACCTATTTTAGTAAATTTCCAAGTGTATAGAAGGCCTTGGCTTCACAAGAATAGAAAAGAATGTGCCTTCATGTCCTATTCTGGAAATGATTGCTACAGCTGTTAATGTTAGTGTCTGTTTCTGTCTTCTAACCTTTCTGCTTTTTTCCCCTCTTTCTCTTCCTCTCTCTTCATTTACTCACTAAATCTCTGCTAGGATCAGACTGATATATGTATTCTTAGTAGAGAGCTGAATGCTGCGGCTACACAGAGTATAGATACTTGCGACTGCAGCCTTATTTATATTGATGGTCTAATCCAATAGTAACTTTCATGCAGAGAGCTACCAGAGAAGTAGAGGATGCCTTGTAAAAGTTGTCTGCTGTTTCTTCTGTAGCAGCAGGTTGTGTCTGTATTATACAGTGATACATGATATTTGCACGTGTTGCGGTTTTATTCCCCGTCATATTCTTCTTCAATCCTGGTTCAGCGCCCAGCCCCTGAGAAGAGTGATTTTATGTTTTTCATTCTGTGAACTCAACTGCGTCAAATGGACGCAGTTTCCGCACTCAACTGAAATCAAATATATCAGTTTGTGCCTGTTTTGCCCTCTGGTGGCTATCCTAAAATAGGCATGGGATCTGAAGACTGCTGTTCTGATTACTGTGTTTGTAACAGAGAAGATATACTGCTTCTCTAAGATACATTAAACTCTGAGTTAAGGGATAGCAGCGTGGTGTCATTTTTGAGGATGATGAGAATTGACCCTGTTGCCACATGGAAACAAGCAGTAAGTACTTTAGCTCTTATTGTTTTGTCTACTGGACACACTTCTCTATGACCAACAGTAGTAAGGCCACATGTAGTTGATGGCATAGCAAACTGATTTATACAGCAAAAACGTGAGTTCAGTTCTCTGTGTTACAACTACATACCTTGTAGATACTAACGTGTGTGAGGTACTGAGCTGAACGGCAGACCCCATAATCTGTCACCACAACACTAAACCATTAAATTGTCACATTCATCCAAAAATTTTGTCTACCAGAACAGTGTTAACATTTGAAAGCAGAAGTTCAATGATTCT